GCGACTGCTATACATTTTTCTTCTTTCTTTCTACAGTCAATCAAATGCGAAGTGAAAATGTGTAATAGATGAAAAATGATATTTTCTTTCTCATAGAGAACAGTCTTGCAAGAATACATTTTGTCTATGATCACACATGCACAAGTGATCGACTCAAAAACAAAATAACTTTTAAGTGAAATGATACTCATAATAATGGAATGGTATTTTCACAGAAAATAGATCCGATATTTCTGACTTTAGGAAAAATAAAATTAATTTTGATCGATCAAACATTTCATAGATATTTACAGAACTAGTGCCACCTATATCATTTTTTGAGGGTGTGGGTGTATGATTAATACAATATCCACACTCACACTCTCCTTGATGGAGAATTTTGATACTCTTATTGATTTATTTTTCGTTGTTGTTGGTAAAGATATTCATTTTGACGGTGAGGAAATCGAAAATTATTATGATTTGATGATAACGTACGGCAAATACTACCATACAATGCCGGTTGATCAAAATTCTGATGAATACGATAATCATTCGATTTGATTTACCTGATTATTTTCATCACTAAGCATTGTTTCTTAATTATTACATCGATTGTAGTTATTTATCAAATACTTTTTCTTTTAACGCTGGCTTTAAACCAGCTTTGATGTGCAACATTTTTCCTCCTCCCTCATGGAAGAGCTAACGTAGAAACAAAGTTTTTTCATAGCATTAATAAATTATTGTTTTCATTTTCGAAGATGCATAAATCTTTGATCTTTACGTGAAGATGATTAGAATCTGTGCTGAAAAGTCTATATTTATTTTGTTCCAACGAATTTTTGACATCATTGGTTAGACACTTAGAAATAAATTTTAGTTTAACTTCTTCACTTACAAGTGCCGAACAAAATGTATGTTCAGTATTTTATTTACCATTCATTAGTTCTTGAACATTTAATTTTAATAGATATACAAGTTTTTGAGGATGGGTCAAGAATTCTATCAATAAAAAGAATTACTAATGAGAACCATTCACAATTTTATTAATCATTTTCCAAAAGATTCGATTTATAGATAGATACTGTATTAAAACTTTTGAATTTAAATTCAGTCATATCCAGTTACTTCATTCAGTAAACTATTATTAGAGATATATGAAACTCAAATATTTTGGTCCTCATTTAGGACAATAGAAAACTTATGAATATAAGATAATTCAGATTAATGTGATTTTCAATCACTGTTTATTTTGATGCATGTGAATATAATGGTGTGATGAGAGATTCAGGCGTTATACATCCACGCCCTCGCATCTATATTCATGTTTACTTTGTTGTAAATAGAATGTGTGTTCAATTTTACGAACGAAGACTTGCTTTTTTATTAGATGTTTCATTCCTGACAAGTACAATTCAAATTGTATTTTATTGAGTTAATGATAATTTTATGAAGACATTTACAATTAAATAGTTTGATTACAACATTCAAATTTATTATTCAGTCAAAAAAAAGAATGAAAATATCATTATGTCGATTTCAATCAATAGAGCTCAGCACTATTGAGGTAGCTAATACCATTATATCCACCAGTAACTAATACTGTTCCATTTCCTAGTATGGATGCTATATGCATTCGACGTGCTGCACTCATATTTCCTATAGTTGTCCAAGTGCCTGTTGTTGGATCATATAATTCAGCACTATTGAGATAATAAGCATTAGATCCACCGGTAATTAGTACTTTTCCATTTCCTAATATGGATGCTGTATGATATCCTCGTGTAACATTC